AATTGTGGCAAGTTCTTGGTGGTATGGGGATCCCAAGTCACCTTGTCTGTCTCCTGAGGAATCTGTATAACAACCAAGTAGCAACAGTCGTAACTGACCATGGAACAGACTGGTTCAAGATTGGGAAAGGCGTACGGCAGGGCTGTTTACTCTCACCCAACCTATTCAACTTGTATGCAGAACACATCATGTGACATACAGGGCTTGACGAATCCATGGCTGGAATTAAAATTGCTGGACAAAACATTAACAACCTGTGCCATCGTGCCCGGGGGCTATAACTCTTAGTGAAAGAGGCATGGACGTGACATCTTTCCCCCAGGGGATTGCTTCTTGCCGTCCTTTAGGAAACTGGAACTCCCAAAGAGCAAAACACTGTAGATAACTCAAAATAAGTTTAATTGTTCACAAAGAGGTATCCCTTTAAGGCAATAAGCTGGAAGTTTCAAAGGGGTAAAGGAAAATATACATTACAGTCTCTGGTTGTCTTGGGTCCAAGGAGTTTTGCAGCTGAGAAGCATTTCCAGGTCCCTCTTTCTCAATGGCTGTGAATATCGGAATAATCAAAACCCCAATTCCAATGGCCTATATTTTGAAGGGACTAAGCCTTCCTCTGGTGCCAAAGAACTGGTCTGAAGGCGCTTGAGACTTCTCAGTGTCATCCAGGTTGATCTGAACATGAAGCATAAGTCTCAAGGGTAAGAACCTTAGAATTGGTGCTGAGAGGTAACTTTGTTGTTGTTCATTCGTTCAGTCGTCTCCGACTCTTCGTGACCTCATGGACCAGCCCACGCCAGAGCTCTCTGTCGGCCGTTACCACCCCCAGCTCGCTCAAGGTAACAACATCCAATTTGCCCTGGCTCATAGATCTTACATTCCAGGTTCCTATGGTGTGTTGATCTTTAGAGCATCGGATTCGTCGTTCGCCTCCAGTACCGTCGGCCGCTAGCCTTCCTTTCAGCTTTGAGCTAGCTGCGTCATCACATCTGGGGCTAGTTGAACTTATCCTCTGCTCCTCCCCAGTAGCATTTTGGCCATCTTCCGACCTGGGAGTCCCATCTTCCAATGGCATACCGACATATCTCTGGTTGTACTGGTCCATTTAGTTTTCTTGGCAAGGATACTGGAGTGGTTTGCCATTGCCTTCCCCAGGGATCACGCTTGGTCTGACCTCTCTGCCACAACCGTCCCGTCTTGGGTGGCCCTTCACGGTTTCGCTCATGACATCATTGAGGTGCTCAAGCTCCAGCGCCCCGACAAGGCGGTGATCCTTTGCTGGAGGTAACTTAATCAAGGGCTTTTAGAGCCAAGTCTCTTTCTCATGTCCATCTGATAGAAATTCTGATGGTGGAATGGAAAAGGAAAGCACTCCCACCAGGAAGAGGTGGAGCCAAACAATTGAGCTGAGGCAGCAATATAACTGGTGCAAACAACATTGATTGACAGCTATAAATAACCAATCAATCCAACTATGCATAGGCAGGGTAAAAAGGCAGGATTAAGCATGATACAACAGTTTAAATCTTGCAACTAACAGTTCTACATATAGGTGGCGCCACTTGCACCACACAACCTTAGATATGCAGATGATACCACTTTGATGGCTGAAAGTGAATAGGAGCTGAGGAGCCTTTTAACCAAGGTGAAAAAAGCAAATACAAAAGCTGAGTTGCAGTGAAACATTAAATAAAACAAGATTATGGCAACCGGACTGATCAATAACTGGCAAACAGAGGGAGAATACGTGGATGCAGTGACAGACTTTGTATTTTCTTCTAGCTCTCTTTGGCCATGAGGATGGAGCAAGTTTTTTCATTTCCCTTGTTATCCAGAAAATGCACTTATATTTTGTACCTGGAAATTCCAGGATGATTTCCAATTGGTCCCAATCAAGCCTGTGCTTGACAGTCACACTCCGTACTATAGTTCCCTACATCCTCAACTAATGATAAGGGATTATGGAGGATTCATTCCAAAATGCCTGTTTGTCTATTCCTGGGCTTGAGAGAGATTCACTTTTGAATCGCATTATGTTACCACAATGGGAACACTTATCTCTTCCTCACTTCTGTTGAAATTGTGAAACCCCAACCTGATGAAGAACTGAAAGAGGAATTAGAACCAGATGAAACAAAGGAAGTAAAGAAACCTAAAAAGATTATAGTACTGTAGTTCATAATCTGTTGAAGTACAGCTTGAAAAGCCTGCTATTGCTTCCTTCATCGTCATCTTGAGAAAGACACTGGGAACCATCTGACAGCTGCTAAAGACTTTATTGACGCTTTAATGTTGTGTTGTATCACGAAACACATACTACAAGGAGGAGGATGGGAGGGCCCAGTATTGACAACAAGCCACGCCATGGCAAAGATGTGTCATTTCTCCCCCGAAAACACAATATTTCTTTCCCCGTTGCTAATTAAAGAGACATAAGATTTTGTGCCCTTTGAACATCTCATAATTCTTATACGCATCTCTGCTTTTATTCATAAAGCCCTTTGATGGCACACAGCTTAGCGCTTATCACAAGATTTTCAGCGATGGAAACGAAAGGTTTTAATGTACAATTCCAAACTGTTTTGTGCTTATGAATATTCATGGAGGAGTGTGGGGAGATGCCTGCTTCCATTTTCCACCGTGTTCTTCTTTGAACATCTTGATGGCCACTTTGCTCATGATTTTAGGTACAGTGTGCTTACCTTGAATCATTGGAAGAGACCTCATGGGACATCCAATCCAACCCTCTGCAAAGAAGCAGGAAAATTGCATTCAGAGTACCCCCAACAGATGGCCATCCAGCCTCTGTTTAAAAGCCTCCAAAGGAGCCTCCACCACACTCTAGGGCAGAGAGTTCCACTGCTGAACAGCTCTCTTTCAGTCAGGAAGTTCTTCCTAATGTTCAGGTGGAATCTCCTTTCTTGTAGTTTGAAGCCATTGTTCCTTGTCCTAGTCTCCAGGGCAGCAGAAAATAAGCTTGCTCCTGCCTCCTCATGACTTCCCCTCAGATATAGTGTTCCCTCGCTTCGTGGTTTGCTTTTTGCGGACTCGCTGTTTCGCAAGTTTTTAATAAATATTAATGTAAAATATTTTGTATTTCTACATAGCCATCATGTCTCATCACGGCCTTGAATTCAGTAGATATCACCTGTAAGCGACATGAGCAAGACTGAAGTAAGGGGCCTAAACTCACTGACCGAAGGCATGCGGTCCAATCCAAAAAGCCTGAGATATACCTCCTGGCTTCTCCAGTTAAAAGGATCATAGAATCAGAGAATCAAAGAGTTGGAAGAGACCTCATGGGCCATCCAGTCCAACCCCCTGCCAAGAATCCCCAGGTGCCTTCCTTCCAGTCTAGGTTCTATGCGGGGGCAAGGTCGTGGAGGGAAGTGCCAACCAGTCTGGAGGGATTCCGGCAGGGAAGCCTCCTGCCTGCCTTCATGAACATCGCTCCCCCCCCCCCCCCAATCTTTGAGGATGGAACCAGTAAGGAGATGGCGGCACTGCTGACTGACCCTCCCTCCCTCCCTCCCTGCCCCCGCCCCTTGGAGGGGAGGGGGGAGGCCCAGCGTGGTGGTGGTGGTGGCTGAGAGGGCCTCCCTCCCTTCCTTCCTTCTTTTGGGCTAGGCCGCGGCGCCTCCTCCTCCTCCTCCTGGTCTTTGTCCGCCAAGCAGCTCAGAGGGACACAAAGCCAAGGCAGGCGGGCGGGAAGGCCACTTTCTTTCTTTCTTTCTCCCATGGCAGGGAGGGAGGGAGGGAGGGAGGGAGGACACTCCACCCCTTCAAAGCCCTCCCTCGCTCCCCGTCTCCGCTCACCTCAGCCTGCCTCTCTCTCTCTCTCTCTTCCTCCTCCTCCTCCAAAATGGCGCCCGCCCGCGGCGAAGTGGGCGGGGCCTGAGGGACGTCCCTCTCCCCTCTCTCTCTCGGTGGGCGGGGCCGCTGCGGCGCAGCCTGGCTCCCGATTGGCCGCCCTCCCACTGGGAGGCGGGCTGGTTGGCTGACTGACGCTGGAAGGAGGGGGAGGGGGAGGGGGAGGAGGAGGAAGCGCCGCTCCCTCGCCCTCCCTCCATTCCGAGCACAGACAGAGAGAGAGAGAGAGAGAGAGACAGAGAGAGAGAGAGAGAGAGAGAGAGAGAGAGAAAAGGGGAAGGCCCCTGCAGGATGTGGAGCCCCTTCCCTCCCCTGCCTGCCTTGGAGGGTTGCTCACCCAGGAGGAGCCTCCCTCTGGCTTCCCGCCCAAATCCTCAGGGAATTCAGCTCTTGAGAGGCAGCTGATGATGGGGATCGCCTGTGGAACTCCCTCCCTCCCTCCCTCCCTCCCCAATGGAAGCCTATCAATTGAAGAGTGGAATATTGTCTCCACTTCTGCGCACCACAACTGAAGACAGATATTGACCCTAAGCTGGAAGACTGTCTCCAGAGGAGGGCAAGGAAAAGGATCAAGGGTCTGCAGAACAAGCCCTATGAGGAGCGGATTAAGGAGCTGGGACTGTTTAGCCTGAAGGAGAGAAGGCCCAGAGGAGACACGAGGAGGGAGGGCCGTGGATAAACATGTGACAGGCACTCACAGGGAGGAGGAGGAAGACGGAGCAAGCTTCCTTTCTGCTGCCCTGCAGACTAGGACACCATGGAGACATGGCTCCAAACTACAAGAAAGGAGATTCCACCTGAACATGAGGAACAACTTCCTGACTGTGAGAGCCGTTCAGCAGTGGAACTCTCTGCCTTCCCCGGAGGGAGTGTGGTGGAAGGAGGCTCCTTCTTTGGAAGCTTTTAAAGAAAGGCCTGATGGCCATCTGTCAGGGGTGATTTGAATGCAATATTCCTGCTTCTTGGCAGAATGGGGTTGGACTGGAGGATGGCCCGTGAGGTCTCTTCCAACTCTTTGATTCTATGAATGAGACCCAAAAGGGCCTCAGAGGATGCCCGACACCCCAGCCCCATCCGCCTTTCCCGCACGGGGTTTACGCCCTTCAAAATCTCACAAATTAAAAGCGTTGCAATACAACTTAAAACATACAAATATTTAAAAAGTATTGGACATCATTAGCATTTTTGGTTAAATCCACAAAACCATAGGAAGCTTGTAGAATCATAGCAAGACTGCATTAGCTGTCCCACGGCATCTCTTCCAACTCTATTGTTCCATAATTCTGTGACTTTGTGCTACGTCTCTCTACATGGCTTCTCCCCAGGGTGAGTCCTTTGATGTTTATGCAGAGTTGAACCACGAGTGAAGCTCTGTCCACATCCCGGGCACGAATACTGCTTCTCCACAGTGCGAGTCTTTACACACGTATGTAGATCTGAACTACAAGTGAAGGGTCTTTTGACACTCCGGTCATGTGAAGAGTTTCTCTCCAGTGCGAGTCTTTACACACGTATGTAGATCTGAACTACAAGTGAAGGTCTTTTGACACTCCGGTCATGTGAAGAGTTTCTCCCCAGTGTGAGTCTCTGATGTGAATGCAGGTTTCCCTTCTCAGTGAAGCTCTGCCCACACTCCAGGCATGTCGTACTGATTGATTTATTTGTCATACGTGTGCCCTGACCCTTCTCTTCCCCATACAGGGGACTCAAGGCGGCTTACTGGGCACACACCTTGTGTTTTAACCACAATTACCTAAACATTTACAAATGGCAACATATTAGACAGTTCAGATTTGAAGGTAAAAACATTCCATCCAAAATTCATGGTCTGAGTCCATTCCGAGGTCAAAGTTTCCAATTCAGATTACTGCATTGTTCTAGTTTCCAAAAGCCTGCTCCCTGAGTCAGGTTTTGACTCTTTTATTTATTTCTTTATCTATATCATTTTTGCCCCGCCCATATCAACCCAAAGGTGACTCAGGGCAGCAAACAATCAGCACAATTCGATGCCACATAGAAAATACATACATCAATAAAAATAAAACATCACATGGCAATATATCTAAAGACAATATATACTTAAGAACTGAAGCATAAAACTCAAACCCAGAGCAATGCGACTAACATAATAGGAGGAAAAATGGTACTGAAAAGGGCCTCAGAGGATGCCTTGACCCCCAGCTCCATCTGCCTTTCCAGTGGGAGGTTTCGCCCTTCCGAATCCCCTTTTCGTAAACATGCCTTTCATTAAGAAAAAGAGAAACATAATAAGTTTACAACACATAACGCTAAAACTATACAGTTCATTGAGGGGCTGCCACAACTACAAAAATAAATCACACACCACTCAAACACTCCTGTACGGACACACAAAGTACACTAACCAATGAACAAACAGACCTGGGTCTAATTCTGAGAACTTCCCACCGGGCTGATTGTGTCCCTGGTCATTCTCCTCCCCTCAGGTAATCACGACAGAAGTGGAGTGCGGGGGTGTTCAAGTCTAAGTACTGTCATGACATGTTTATCTGCCCAATTTATTGATTTAACTGCAGTACTTACCACTAAAATGAATAAGTTGATAAAAGTAAGGAAATAAAATGTATTAGTAACAATGTTTGCGGTGAAATACACGGAGCAGCTACAGAGGAAACGACACAATGATTATTTATACAGAAAGATTATACGAAACCTACCTGCATATATTATTATATGTATTGAAAATCTTATATGGAGTTGGTTTAACCTCTGTCTGGCTACTTAAACTGAATTACAGTGTCACGAAAGGATGCGTGTCTAAAACGTGACACCAACATGAAAGGTTTGGAAAGCTCTGCCTTAGAGTCTCTCTGGGTTCAATGACCACAGTTCCCTCCAATGGGAAGTCTATGTCTATGGAGACGTCAACTCTCAGGGACGCTCTTTCCACGTGCCATCTCTCAGGGATACTTGGATTGTGCTTTTCCTGCATGGCGGGGGGTTCTCATTATGATATTTATTTATATCCCGCTTTTTCTCTCCATTCGGACACTCAAAGCGGCTCACAAATTAACAGTGTTGCGATACAACTTAAAATATACAGATATTAAAACTGTATTGAACATCAGTAATAACCATAAAATCACATGAAGCTTATAAAATCAAAGCAGGATTGGATCTCTTGGATCTCTTCCAACTCTATTATTCTATGATTCTATGACTTTATGCTATGTCTCTAGCTGGTTTCTCCCCAGGGTGAGTTCTTTGATGTTTATGTAGAGGTGAACTACGAGTGGAGCTCTGTCCACACTCCAGGCATTTATAGGGTTGCTCCCCAGGGTGAGTGCTTTCATGTGAACGTAGTGGTCTACTCAGAGTGAAGTTCAGGCCACACTCCAAGCATTCATAAGGTTTTTCCCCCAGTGTGGGTCAAGGCATGTATAGGGTTTCTTCCCTCATGAGAGTCCTTTGATGTTTATGTAAACTCGAATTTTGAGTGAAACTCTGTCCACATTCCAGGCATTTATAGGGTTTCTTCCCTCATGTGAGTCCTTTGATGTTTATGTAGACTCGAATTTTGAGTGAAACACTGTCCACATTCCAGGCATTTATAGGGTTTCTGCCCAATGTGAATCCTTTCATGTGAACGTAGACTTGAATTATGAGCAAAGCTCTGTCCACACTCCAGGCATTTATAGGGTTTCTGCCCAGTGTGAGTCCTTTCATGTGAACGTAGACTTGAATTATGAGCAAAGCTCTGTCCACACTCCAGGCATTTATAGGGTTTCTGCCCAGTGTGAGTCCTTTCATGTGAATGTAGATATGAACGACAAGCAAAGCTCTGTCCACATTCCAGGCATTTATAGGGTTTCTCCCCAGTGTGAGTCCTTTCATGTGAATGTAGATATGAACGATGAGCAAAGCTCTGTCCACACTCCAGGCACGTATAGGGTTTCTCCCCGGTGTGGGTCCTTTGATGTCTGTGTAGACTAATATTACGAGTGAAAGTCTGTCCACATTCCAGGCATTTATAGTGTTTCTCCCCAGTGTGAGTCCTTTTATGTGAATGCATACTTGAATTATGAGCGAAGCTCTGTCCACACTCCAGACACTTATAGGGTTTCTCCCCAGTGTGAGTCCTTTGATGACTACGTAGACCTGAACTATCAGCAAAGCTATGTCCACATTCCAGGCATTTATAGGGTTTCTGCCCAGTGTGAATCCTTTGATGTGAACGTAGACCTGAACTATGAGCAAAGCTCTGTCCACACTCCAGGCACATATAGGGTTTCTCCCCAGTGTGAGTCCTTTCATGTGAATGTAGACTTGAAATCAGAGTGAAGCTATGTCCACATTCCAGGCATTTATAGGGTTTCTTCCCAGTGTGATTCATTTGATGTCTCTGTAGACTGGAATTACGAGTGAAAGTCTGTCCACATTCCAGGCACGTATAGGGTTTCTCTCCAGTGTGAATCCTTTGATGGCTGTGTAGATGTGCACTCTGAGCGAAGCTCTGTCCACACTCCAGGCAGGAATAGGGTTTCTCCCCAGTGTGAGTCTTTACATGTTGCTGCATATCATGCCTCTGAGTAAAGCTCTTTCCACACTCCAGGCAGGAATAGGGTTTCTCCCCAGTGTGAGTCTTTACATGTTGCTGCAGACGATGCCTCCGAGTGAAGCTCTTTCCACACTCCAGGCATTTAGACGCTTTCTCCTCCATGTCAAGAATGATACGGGTGTTTAATTCCAATACAGAGACTTGACTCTTCTTTATTCCTTTGTTATCTGTAAGTGAAGTCAAGAATTCAGCAAGATCATCGTCTTGAGAGGATTTCTTCTCCCTGCATTATCGGTTTTCTTACTGCATCCGAAAGGTCGCTCCAAAGAGTCCTCACTTCCCTGGTGAAGAAAGAAGCGAAAGATCAAGGATGAAAGCCAGAGACCTTCTCTACCTCCAAGATTTCCCCCTTCCCCTTCATGGGTCACCTTGAGAATGGAAATACCAAGAAAGGCCGACACTGGGGCCTCAAGCACATATCCAGAGACCAGCCATGGGAATCAATGGTTCTTTAAAAAGAAGGGAATGAATTCAGAAGAGGAGAGGGATGGAGGAAGAAAAGAAAGAATGAGAGAAGGAAAAAGGGGGAAATCCTAATTCTGGGGCATCATATTGATTTTATTGGGATGAACAGAAATGTGGAAAAGGAATGGGAGGCAGGAAGGCTGGGAGAAAGGAACGGTCCTTTGCAAGACTCAAGGACACCATTCGCTGGATCATGTGTGTCCCTGAATGACCAGGAATGGGCTCAATGCTAAGAAGGGACCCCAAGATGGCTGTCTTGCTGTAGTGAATCTTACCTAGTAGGCCAGAAAAGAAGCCTGGGTGACAGTACAGAAAACCTCCATTTTGTGAGTGTATGCCAGGGAAACAGCCATTTTGAAGGAGGGTGGCTAGAAGATGGGAGGAGTTTGAGGTCTCCTGGGATTGGCTAGAGCAGAGGGGAGGAGCCAAGTCTGAGGAGGGAAAAGATTTCAGCTTCTGAAGAGATGAGATTTGGGAGCTGGTGGGAGAACAAGTGTTTTTGAAACTGGGTTTTTGAGAGAGAGCAGCAACCTGATTACTTGTGGGAAACGGCACAAGGCATTAGCTCTCTAGTCTGAGTTAGTTAGCTGAAAGAACTCTAGGAAGAGCTAGCTGATAACTCAGGGGACTGCCTAGGATAGGTTAGTCAGTAACTCATTAATATTTCGCTGAAGTAGAGTGAGGCATTTTTGTAACCAGCAGCTATATCTGTTTGATTAGCTCTGTTTGTAATTAAGTGAAGAAACTCTTTTCAAGCAACCATCAAGATATTGTGCTTTAATAACAAGTTAAGTGTTCTGTGCCTCTCAGAAGAAGAAGTTAGTTGTCCGTTTTTATAAATAAATCTTTTCTCTATATACCTTTCAAGAAGTCTCTATCGTTCCTCACGGATGTTGACCGTGATGAGGAATCACAAGCAAGTAACTCAAGTAGGAACAAGCACCTTGAGAGCCCTTTCATGCCACAAGAAGAAGAAAGTGAGGAAGTTTTAAGAAAGCATGTAAAGGGCTGTTCTGATGATCTTATAACAGAACTGACTGACAATTTATCAAGTCCTTCCTTTAAGAAAGAGAGATCAGGAAGAGTCGTGTCCTGTCTTCATGTCCTCAACATCTACTTCCCCTGGAGCTAGCAGGAGAAAGGCCATCAATAATAATAATAATAATAATAATAATAATAATAATCTTTATACCCCGCCACCATCCCCCCCGACGGGAACTCAGGGCGGCTTACATGAGCCCAAGCCCAAACAAGAGATTACAGCAAAATAAAACCAAAACACAAGCAACAAGCAACAACATCATAATTACATAAAAACATATGAATACATTAGCAATACAATTACATTAAACACAGTTTTGTATACCGAGCTTCTCAACCTCGTTGAGGGACTCAGACAATGAGAGTGGGCGGGCCACATGTGGAGGATACAATGTTAAAAAACTCGAGCGAGATAAAAAGAGGAGCAGGTTATTCGCAAGAGGGAGCTCATAGGAACAGGGCTGAGGAACCAAGCTTTCCCACCAGGGGGGACGTGTACTTCAGGGACAGAAACGTTGAGGGGAGCAGTAGTGTCATGCTGTGTACCTACAGACAGGAATCAATCAAGACCAGCGAATACCACCTGGCAGGCGATTTCCCCGGGCGGGGGGCGACCGGGCTTTGGAGCTGCAGGGCCGCTCGGTGCTGGTCGGGGGGCCGGGCAATTGCAGCGTTCGTACTTGCCTAGGGCGGATGGGAGTTCTTACTCCCACCCTGGACATATATAAATCCCATTTTCCAACTGTATGATGATGATGATGACAATGAGAATGAGTGGGGACCCTTTTGGACTCCCTATTTATTATTTATTTATTTGCAGTATTTATATTCCGCCCTTCTCCTCACCCCGCAGGGGACTCAGGGCGCATGACAATGTACACATATATGGTAAACATTCAATGCCAATTAGACATACAACGTATATAGACATACACAGAGGCTATTTAACTTTTTCTGGCCGCCAGGGGAGCTGTCACTTTCATCGTCCATCTGTGATACTGATGAAGTACTTGCGCATTACCTACATCTAGAGAGCACTGTGGACTCAAACAAAGACGGATCTGGACCAATCTTGGCAAGAATACTCAATATGCCCAAATATGCACAAGATGGAGTTTGGGGGAACTACCTCTGAGGATGCTTGCCATACATGCAGGCGAAACGTCAGGAGAAAATGCCGCTAGAACATGGCCATATAGCCCGAAAAAACCCACAAGAACCTAGTGATTCCAGCCATGAAAGCCTTCGACAATACAACCTTAACTTTACTTAGTTACTGTGATTTATAGTTCTCCTACAATCACGAAGCATTCTGAACCCCACCAACGACAGAATTGGGCCACACATCCCACACAGAATCCGCATGACCAACAGAAAGTAGTGTGTTTTCTGGTCTTCCTAGGTTGAGAAATGCTGCCTGAAGGCCACCCAGTCCAACTCCCTTCACCAGGGCAAGAAAACATAATCTGCCAGAGTCCACGGTCTCCCTTGCAGCTGTGGACAAACCCCATAGGCACAGCCACAGCCACAGCAGCCACAGCCACAGCAGCCTGGCCCAGGCACGCACCCAGGAACACGGCAGGCACTGCAGGGAAAGTCAGCCAGAGCCAAAAGTTGGTTTGTTTTCTTAAGAAATGTCATGCAACGGTGTGGTTTTCTCCTGAGAGGGTGAGTAATGACCAATCCTGTTTCCATGTGGCCTGAGGGCCCTTTCCTTCCCTCCCTCCTTCCCCCTGGGAATGGCCAGAGGAAGGAGCCCTGATGGGAAGGGGCTGGGAAGGGATTCGTGGCCAGGTCCCTCCTCCTTCCCAGGAGGCCTTCTTCTTCTCCTCGGAGGGGCCCATAGGCCTGCCTGCCTGCCTGTGTTCCTTGGGGCTGGGCTGAAGGGGCCTTCCCCAGGTGCCTTCCTTCCCAGTCTCAGGTTCTATGCGGGGGAAAGGTCGGGAGAGAATGCCACCCACTCTGAAGGACTCCGGCCAGGGAAGCCTGCCTGCCTGCCTGCCTTCCTTCAGGAACACCGCTCCCCCCCCGCCCCCCCCCCCCCCCCAAATCTTTGAAGGATGGAACCAGTGAGGAGGTGGCGGCAGTGCTGACTGACCCTCCCTCCCTGCCAGAGGGGCCCCTGCCTGCCTGCCTGCCTGCCTGCCTGTGTTCCTTGGGGCTGGGCTGAAGGGGCCTTCCCCAGGTGCCTTCCTTCCCAGTCTCAGGTTCTATGTGGGGGAAAGGTCGGGAGAGAGTGCCACCCAGTCTGAGGGATTCCGGCCAGGGAAGCCTGCCTGCCTGCCTTCCTTCATGAACACAGCTCCCCCCCCCCCCCATATTTGAAGGATATACCAGTGAGGTGGAGGCACTGCTGATTGACCCTCCCTCCCTCCCTCCCAGAGGGCCCCTGCCTGCCTGCCTGCCTGCCCTTCCCTGCCCTTGGAGGGGAGGGGGGAGGCCCAGCGTGGTGGTGGTAGTGGCTGAGAGGGCCTTCCTTCCTTCCTTCCTTTGGGCTAGGCCGCGGCGCCTCCTCCTCCTCCTCGTCTTTGGCCGGCCCAGCAGCTCAGCGGGACACAAGGCCAAGGCGGCGCCACACGCAGGCAGGCAAGAAGGCAGCCGAGAGGGAAGGAGGGAGGGTCTGTGAGCCTCTTCCTTCCTTCCTTCCTTCCTTCCTTCCTTCCTTCCTTCCTTCCTTCCTTCCTTTCTTTCTCCCATGGCAGGGACAGAGGACACTCCACCCCTTCAAAGCCCTCCCTCCCTCCCTCCCTCCCGGTCTCTGCTCACCTCGGCCTCTCTCTCTCTCTCTCTCTCTCTCTCCTCCTCCTCCCAAATGGCGCCCGCCCGCGGCGAAGTGGGCGGGGCCTGAGGGACGTCCCTCTCTCCTCCCTCCCTCTCTCTCTCGGTGGGCGGGGCCTCTGCGGAGCGGCCTGGCTCCCGATTGGCCGCCCTCCCACTGGGAGGCTGGCTGGCTGGATGGCTGGCTGAGGGGAAGCGGCCGAAGAGGAGGAGGAGGAGGAGGAGGAGGAGGAGGAGGAGGAGGAGGCATCCGCGCAGAGAGAGAGAGAGAGAGAGAGTCCGCCCGGCCGGCAGGGGGCGCTGCTGCTGCTGCTGCTGCTGCTTTGGGCGGGCTCTCCTCTTCTTCCTCCTCTTCCTCCTCCTCCTCCCTCTGGGCCTGGGTCTCGCTCGCTCTCTCGCAGGGTTTCCTCCCCCCTCCCTCCCTCCAGTCCGCGCAGAGAGAGAGACAGAGAGAGAGAGAGATTCCGCGAGCCCCATGCCAATGGGGAGGCAGGGAGGGAGGTCAAATCATCCAGGCGTCCCCTGGGCAACGTCCTTGCAGATGGCCAATTCTCTCACACCAGGAGTCACTCCTGGCATCTATGGCAAGCATCCTCAGATGCTTCAGACCTCACAACCTCAGACCTCACAACCTCTGAGGATGCTTGCCATAGATGCAGGCGAAACGTCAGGAGAGAATGCCTCTAGAACATGGCCATAAAGCCCGAAAAGACCTACAACAACCTAATAATAAACATTGTTGATAAATTAAGAAACTCCCTTTGTCTCCTTCTTGCAGGGGATTTGGGCAGATGGGGGTCCCATCTCCCTGCTACAGTTGCCATCATCCTGTGTTCCCAAGCCGTATCCTTCCACCTCGTCGGACCCAGGGGCCAAGAAGCAGACATCGGCATGCCTGCTTAGCTGAAGACTGCTTCAACCGAATAGGTGAGAACAAATGTGCTGTCAGAGAGAATTATATTGTGGATCCCTTGGATAGCAGATACCAGTCCAGTATGCGCAGTCTTTGGGGTTGCAGCAGCGTTCAGTTTACATTTGACAGAAGTGAGAGTTGAAAGGTTTTTGATGGTTAGCTTACACTGGCAGGTTCTCATAACATGCTGGAGGCATGGGCAAAACACCTCAAGGTGTTTTGGACTTCAGCTCCAGGAAATCCCAACCAGCTTACAGGCTGTTAGGAATTGTGGGAGTTAAAGTCCAAAACACCTGGAAGGCCAAAGTTTGCCCATGCCTGTCCTCGTGAGAACACCTCCCTAGGAATCTCTAGGTTTTCCAGCATATTGCTATGACCAACCTCCATCAAAAGTTGAACATAGAGTTATGCTGGAGGATTTAGATATTCTTAAAGAGGACAGGAGCAGAATTCAAAACGATCTTGACATATTAAAGAGATGGGCAAAACTAAAAAAAATGAAGTTCAGTAGGGACAAATGCAAGATACTCCACTTAGGTAGAAAAAATGAAATGCAAAGATACAAAATGGGGGACGCCTGGCTCGAGAGCAGTACGTGTGAAAAAGATCTCAGGAGTCCTCATGGACAGCAAGTTAGACATGAGCCAACAATATGATGCGGCGGCAAAAAAAAGCCAATGGGATTTTGGCCTGCATCAATAGGAGCATAGTGTCTAGATCCAGGGAAGTCATGCTACCCCTCTATTCCGCCTTGGTTAGACCACGCCTGGAATCACATTGTGTCCAATCTCCAATTGAAGGGAGATGTTGACAAGCTGGAATGTGTCCAGAGGAGGGCGACTAAAATGATCGAGGGTCTGGAGAACAAGCCCTATGAAGAGTGGCTTAAAGAGCTGGGCATGTTTAGCCTGAAGAAGAGAAGGCTGAGAGGAGATATGATAGCCATGTATAAATATGTGAGAGGAAGTCACAGGGAGGAGGGTGCAAGTTTGTTTTCTGCTTCCCTGGAGACTAGGACACGGAGCAATGGCTTCAAACTACAAGAGAGGAGATTCCATCTGAACACGAGGAAGAACTTCCTGACTGTGAGAACCGTTCAGCAGTGGAACTCTCTGGCCCAAAGTGTGGTGGAGGCTCCTTCTTTGGAGGCTTTTAAAAGAGGCTGGATGGCCATCTGTCAGGGGTGTTTTGAATGCAATATTCCTGCTTCTTGGCAGGGGGTTGGACTGGATGGCCCATGAGGTCTCTTCCAACTCTAGGATTCTATGATTCTAGGTTTTCTCTCAGGTTAAAAAAAGCATTTTATTTGCCTTTTCCCCATTTTTCCAAAGGTCCTGCACCCATAACCAACAAAAGAGGAGGGCCTTTTGCATTTTTATTTTTTTCCCCGGCTCTTCACTAAATGAATTTCTTGCTTAAAAGAAATGGTATGTGGACTCCGGGAGCCCCCAGTGGCGCAGTGGGTTAAACCACTGAGCTGCTAAACTTGTTGACCGAAAGGTCGCAGGTTCGAATCCAGGGAGCGGCATAAGCTTCCGCTGTCAGCCCCAGCTTCTGCCAAACTAGCAGTTCAAAAACATGCAAATGTTAGTAGATCAATAGGTACCGCTCCAGTGGGAAGGTAACGGTCCTCCATACAGTCATGCTGGCCACATGACCTTGGAGGTGTCTACGGACAACACTGGCTCTTCGGCTTAGAAATGGAGATGAGCACCATACCCCAGAGTTGGACATGACTGGACTTCATGTCAGGGGGAAACCTTTACCTTTACTATGTGGACTCCACATGTTATTGGTACATGATTTTTCAGCAGGGTGGATGGAAATTGGTCCAGTTGTTCCTTGTGATACTTTTCAGCTCTGATTGTGGAGTATTAGAAACTTCTCTTAACTGTTCCTCTGACAGTACTCTTGGACAAACATTAGCAGCTTGATAAAAGCACAGAAGCAATTTGAGATGTGGGATAGGAGTGTGAGATGGGGAGATCCTCACTGCCAGCTTAGCAAGAGTTGGAAGTAGAGAGCTGCTGCCTGTGCCAAACCAGTATGCTCCAATAAAAAAACAGGCAACTCAGTCACACATATACATTCCCTTTCTGATGTGCTGGTGGACTTCGTACACATTGGCTAATATCAGTTTGTATGCTTCCTGTCTCGCAGAGCCCCATGTACCTGGAACCCACTGTGTGCATCCTCAAAGCCTACGTAGGAATAGGTTGGCCAAAGTGCTCTTCGCCAGCCAAGAACATGACAGCACTGGCTCAACTGTGGCTACCTGCATCAGTCAAGGAAGTCTACAGGTGGACATCAATCAGCTCATCCTGGAAGATCTGGAGGAAGCAGACGAAGAGGGAGATGGCGGGAGCAGCAGTTAAACACTAGTTACCTAGAATGATCATCTTGTGGGAGATAAATGGCAAATTATGAATTTATAGTGACCTGGGGAGCGGTTCTACCTGATTTCAGAATGTATGCCAATGGCAGTCCATCCTCACAGATCCCATTGAACATTCATTGCTCAGCTGCTATTTAGCTTTACCTTCCTTTCCTTTTTCTGATGGTCATAGTGGCAAGCTCACATCTGCTATTACATGAATAATGAGGCTTTGAAAATGTGCCCTATCCTTCCAACCCACTCAATGGGTGTCAAGTTGCCCTGTAAATTTTTGCTGGCCTTGTGTACAATAGGATGTACATTGGGTTGTTGTAGGTTTTTTCGGGCTATATGGCCATGTTCTAGAGGCATTCTCTCCTGATGTTTTACCTGCATCTGATGTCAGGCACCACCCCCCTCCCCCCCCCTCAAAATTAAGGGATAAGGACTTATAGTTCTGCAAAGGGCAAGGGCACCAGACTACACAACAAGGGTTAAGTCTTGGCCACATTGCCAAGGCACTGACAACAACAAGGACCCCATGAGGCTTTTTGGGAAATGGCTGGATCTTGGGACTTCTGCCCTTTTGTGAGAGTTGTAGTTCTCCAAGGGCTGAGCGATGGATTCTGTTATTGATTAACTCAGCGCCCATCTGCTGGCTTCTGCCTGAAACCATGACTCTCTGCTGCATGGACTGGACTGTTTGCCACAACCCTGGCCATGAACTTCCTATCAATGCATGACTTGAACTGCTAGCAACCTCTGCTTCCACATGCCCTTCCTAAGAGTATGGGATTTCCAGTTTGGGTTATAATAAAGATCGAATATTGAAACAAACCTTATGGGGTGGGATGGGGTTCCCCTTATGAACTATGTATAAAAGTGTATCGTATGAAATGTAATATGCTCCCCTGCCTTTCCTATTGACCTTTACCCCACAAAAAGGTGACCAGAAGTTGTTGCAATGCTCGGGGGGAAACTCTCTGCTTCCCCCGAAGCTCTTCCCTGATTGACTCATTGCATGAAACAATAACTGTTGATTCCCCCTTCCCGCCTTCTGAGCCTGTCTAGTGGGAAGAGGAAGTCAACAGAAACCTGGAAAAAAGAATTGATTAAATTCACAAAGGCAGCGTTGATCCCTTTTGAGGTCCGCTGTCTAACCCAATATTGTCTTTTCCCCAAAGCCATTCCAAACAGGAAGACTTTTGTTTACAAAGATCACACCTTGCCGGCCTGAGACAAAGGCTTGCTGGCAACTCCTA